TTGGTTTTCAAGGACGCAGAAATGCGTCACGTTGAGCACGACAGAGGCGGAGTATGTCTCCCTTGCGGATGTGATGAAGGAAGTGTTGTTTCTGAAGCAGGTATGGCGTTTCATGTTGCCAGAAGCAGGTATGCCGTTTATTCCGGTGTTCGAGGATAACCAGGGGGCTATTCAGTTGGCGCAGGACCCGATTAGCAACAGTAACTCGAAGCACATCGACGTAAGGCACCACTTCATCAGGGAACTGGTAGGCAGGAAGGAGATTTCGATTTTTCACGTGGAATCAGCGTATCAACATGCTGACTTCCTCACGAAGGCACTTCACGTCCGAGATTTTGAGTTTCATCGTAATTTCGTGATGAGTGTGGGACAGGAACGGTAGATTTGGATTTACTTGTTTTTGATCAAAGAACTAGGGTGTCATTGTTTTACATTTTTGCCTATGGTCTTCTCAGTCAATGGTGCTCTAGGATGGGGAGCAATTGGATCGAAGAACTACAACTGGCATGATCGGGGATGGAAATATATTTCTAGCCCAGAAGGCTATTGTCGCAGATTTGAGTTGTGTTTTGGAGTGACTGAAAGATCATGAAGACATGGCATAGTCACAAGCAGGGGGCTGATAGAGATACTTGTAGCAATGCCAAGCGGTTGGTGCTGGATGTTCCCATGGAATGAGGTAGAGCGGAATACCGGGTGACATGTGTGGTACGTAGAATGGATTCCAGGGATGTACAAGGTACCCCTGTTGTATACGGCGTCGCCCCCTCAACGGGGTTAGTGTTGCTGTTGTTGTTTCTCACATTAGCTCTACAGTCCACAAAAAATGGGGAGCCCGTGGTCTCAAAACCCGGAAAATACGACGCCGCGGGGAAACAAAACAAAAATAGGGTACAATCCACCCGGAACAAGAAAACAAAATGGTAGAAAGAAAAGAACAGGTCTCGCACCGACCGTTCGAGAAAACAGCCCTCGGAAACCGATCAAAATAGAACAAAAACAAAAATAAAGGAGGACGCTTCCCACACCCGCCCAAAGAAAAATCAAAGGGTAACGTGCCAGCACCAGGCACTACGCACCAGGGCATGGGAGTGACGGAGCAAACAGGACAAAGAGGCGGCAGATGGGCAGACAGCCAGACGTAAAACAACAAAGGCAACAGCAAAGGCGAGATCACAGTACCCAACACAACAGAGTAGGCAGGGAGGTCATGAAAAAAAGAAACACAGCACAGAGGCCGGAGGCAATACAAAGGACATGCATAAAGGAGTAAAGCATACAGCAGGGAGGGAAATAGGGCGCAACAACATCAGCCGGGTACATAGTTCGCCACAAGTGCTGCCTCGGCCGCCCTACTCGCTTCTACAGCCGTGCCCGGTCGCCGGTTCTTCCCCCCCACCGCCGCTTCCCCAACTCTCTTTCCCTTCGGTCCTGAGATGGCCGTACTCTCTGCTTCTGCTTCCCTCGCGCGCTGGCGCTTCGCGGACGCTTCCGCCTCCTGCCGGTGCCATTTCCTCATGAGCCATGCCGCCCCATCCTCGACCTTGTTGTACCACACCTCCGGGTCCTTGGCGCTCTCTTTCCATTTACCCCCTTCCCTTTCGTCTCCCATG